GCAGATGGCATAATGAGAGCGTTCATGAATTTGGAATGGCATTACGATGGTCTGTTGTTAAAGCTTATCCGACAGTGGATCCCAACACACAAGACCTGTTGGCTAAGGATCAGTTTATAGCTCATGTGGGGAATGGGGACCTGAGAGTGAGTTTACGGAGTGCCAAGCCTGCATCACTTGAAGCAGCCATCAACCTTGCGGCGGAGCTTGAGGTCATTAAGGGTTTGGAGACCAGCTCATTATTTGATGCAAGAGTGAGAGGAATAACTGAGAAAGATGCTGATGACGAGCGTATTAATTCACTGATGGGGGTGGTTGAGAGCTTGAGACAGGAGGTGAAATCCCTCCAGAATGTGGTGCACACACCGTCTGTACCTGCTGCACCTGGTCCCCACCATGACGCTCAGAACACAAACTTATAGCTAGTCGAGAGTATTCCCGAAAAAAAGGGAATGAGAGGTTGGGAGGTTGCTGGGAGTGTGGTTCTAACCGGCATATACGTCGGGTCCTTATGTTCAGGGAAACTAAAGGGGGCATTTACAGTGGGTCAAATGCCCGCCCCCCTCTCCGTTGTTGAGACCCCTACAAGAGGAAATTCTGGGAACTTGAAGGCCAGGATAGGCGGGTGCGATTGCCATGCTCTAATAGATACAGGAGCTTCCTGTTCTGTGATTTCACAAAAGCTGTGGCTATCCTTCACTCAAGGGTGTGTGAATTAACTCCATATGGGGAGTAATGTTACAGCTGCAAATGTGGGAGGAATGTGCATTATGGGATGTTGGCAAACAACGTTGTCAGCTGGGTATGCTGGCTTTTGTAATAGAATTCTTGGTATCAGACGTCCCCTCAGATGAAATACTGTTGGGATTTGACTTTCTTTCCAAATATGGTATGGTGGTTGATTTGGGCACCAAAACGTGTAAGATCATGGGCAAAGTGTTCCCACTGCTTGACTTGGAGCCTTCTTCAAGTCCACAGGTTGTAGTGGTGCAGACAGATACAGTGGTCCCTCTGCGGAGTGAAGCTATAATATTGGGACAAATTAAGGACAGCTGGGGTGATTATGCCCAAGGGTCGCTGGAGCCATCTGACCACCTCTCTAAGCACTGTGACTTGCTTGTTGCTAGAGTCATTTGCAAGGTTGATCAGGGCCAACTTCCAGTGCGTGTGAAAAACATGAGGGATGACCTATTAATATTGAAAGGTGGTATGAGGGTGGGCACGATTTTCACTGATGTTGAGGTGGAGGATGAAAGGACAGATCTTGTGAAGAAGGATCAAGGCTCTCAACCTTGGACAGTGGAATAGTTGATGACTCAGTTCAGAGTCAGTGAGAGAGGACTTGCCCCTGAGGAAGTCTCAGCAGTCCGACAGTTATTGCTTCAAAATCTGTCTCTAATCAGTCGAGGGGATACAGACTTAGGAAGGACACGAATAATCTCTCATGAAATTGACACCGGGGAGGCTGCACCCATTAAAATGCACCCCCAAAGGATTCCACTTTATTTACAATAGGAAGTGACAGATAATTTGAAGGACATGTTGGCAAATGATATTATTCACCCCTCATGTAGTCCATGGGCTGCCCCTGTGGTCCTGGTTAAAAAGAAAGGGGGCGGATATAGATTTTGTGTGGACTACAGGAAACTGAATGATGTCACTAGAAAAGACGCTTGCCCTGTTCCTCGAATCGATGATGCTTTGGATAGTCTGCTGCATGCACAATGGCTTTCAACTTTGGACTTGGCTAGTAGTTATTGGCAGGTGGAAGTAGACCCTAGAGACCATCATAAGACTGCTTTTATCACTCGCCAGGGACTGTTTGAGTTTAACGTGCCAAGTTTTGGGTTGTGTAATGCCGCCGGTACATTTCAGCGCCTGATGGGTTTGATTTTGGCTGATCTGCAGTGGACTGTTTGTTTAGTTTACTTGGATGACATTATTGTGTTTGGGCGTGATTTTCAGGAGTATCTAGCGTGCCTGGGCACAGTCCTGGAGAAGTTAAGGCAAGCTAATCTAAAAGTAAAGCCTTCTAAATGTGACATTTTTTTCCACGCAAGTCCATTGGTCATGTGATTTCCACCGAAGGCTAAAATAGAGGCAGTAAGAGGGTGGCCCATCCCAACTAATCAGACAGAGGTCCAGAGCTTTTTGGGCTTGGCATCTTATTATAGATGGATCGTGAATGGTTTTGCAGACATTGCTCAACCACTGCATCGGTTGGGAGAAAACGGAAAATGCTTTCAGTGGCGTGAAGACTGTCAGGAGGCCTTCGAGAAACTTAAAGCTCGTTTGATGACTGCTCCTGTACTGACCTACCCTGACCCCAAGAAATCTTTCATTTTAGATACAGCCGCTAGCGAGGTGGGGATTGGTGCTGTACTATCGCAGGTAGAAGGGGAAACAGAGCAGGTTATAGCATATGCTAGTAGGGCCCTCACAAAACAGGAACGCAAATATGCCACAACAAAGAAGGAGCGTCTGGTCACTTTCACTAAGTACTTCAAACATTATTCTTTGGGCAAGGAATTTGTTTTACGGACAGACCACAACTCTGCGATGGCTGCACAATTCCCAGGGTTTGGAGGGACAACTGACTAGATGGGTGGAAGAGCTGACCAATTTCCAACATAAAATCATTCATCGGCCAGGTAAACTGCATAGTAATGCAGATGCCCTTTCCAGACTGCTAATCTGGAAAACGGAGAGCTAATCAGCTGGCGAGGGAACGCAGCACTTGGGAGCTGAGTTGAGGGTGTGCTCCCTACAAGAGGGAGGATCAGGGTCTAGTCGGGCCTTAGAGATGGATGAAATCAGCCAGGCTCAGCTGGATGATCCGGTGCTGAAACTGATCAGGGATGCTAAACAGGGTGTAGAGCTTGTAGGCCCTGATGACCCAGAATTAAAACAGTTTGCACCTGTGTGGGACCAACTCGAAATACAGGGCTCCAAGTTGGTGCGTGTAGCACCGGAAAATTCTGATGCTGCTCGGGAGGTCCAGGTTGTTTTGCCCCAGGCTCTGGTGCCAGAGGTCCAGAGAGAGTTACATAATGTCCCCACCGGGGGCCATCTGGGGGTCCAAAAGTTACAAGGCAAGGTGAAAGATCGTTTTTATTGGCCTGAGTGGTTTAAGGACGTAAGGGCTTGGGTTCGTGAGTGTGCTGACTGTGGCTCAGTTAAAATGCATAGAGGAACACCATGCACACCTTTAGAGCAGTCACTGACCTCTAGGCCCTTTGAACGCATTGCAGTGGACATTTTGGGTCCACTCCCTGAGACCGGACTGAGAAATAAGTACATCATGGTAGTGGGTGACTACTTCTCTAAAAGGACGGAAGCCTTCCCACTCCCTAATCAGGAGGCTAAAACAATCGCTAGGGTTCTGACTGAGGAATGGGTGTGCCGGTTTGGGATGCCGTGGAGCCTCAATTCCGACCAGGGGAGGAACTTTGAGTCAAAACTATTCCAAGAGCTATGTGGACTCTTGCAGATTCATAAAACAAGGACAACCCCCTATCATCCTCAGTCAGACGGATTAGTGGAGAAGTTTAATCGGACGTTGCTGACTATTTTAACTTTTTTTGTGGAGGACAATCAGCTTAATTTGGATTCCTTGCTGCCATATGTAATGCTAGCCTACAGAAGTAGCATTCACGCCAGCACATCTGTCACACCCTATAAGGTTCTGTTTGGGGGAGAGATCGTGCTACCCGTTAATGTCATGTTGAACCTGGACAAGGGTGAAGCCTTTGCCTCAGTAGACCTGTATGTGACGAGACTGAAGGAAACATAGACTACGGTGGTAGATGCGGTGAAACGCCATCAGTGCAGAGCCTCGGTGCAACAAAAGAGGGCATATGACTTTAGGGCCTCCTGCCAGTTCTACTCGGAAGGTGAATTGGTGTGGGTCCGAAACAAGCTGAGGAGGCGGGGTGTGTGTCCCAAGCATCAGAGATGATATTAAGGACTGTTTAGGGTTCTCAAGCGGGTGACAGATGTGCTGTACAGACTGGTACCGTTGAGGGGGGTCCTGAGAGTGCGATTCACTTCAACCGACTTAAGCCGTGTACTTCTCTTCCAACAGTTACAGCACCGACAGCTGTGGGGTCCCGAGAGAGCGGGGCAGAGGCTGCGTCAACCAGATGCCACCTGGGAAGACACCAGCAGGGTTTATCAATGGTCTGCAGAGACGAGCGGTTCCAGTGACTCAAGTGACCTGGCTCCATCACGTGGAGAGGCTGCTCGGGGTGGGGGTAGAGGGTGCTGCTGCTGCAGGAGGACCGGAAGGATGTCTCCCTGGGAAGGTCGAGGGACATGGAGCTGTGGAACAACGCGTGGTTCATCAACCAGTTGCCACCGACCGTCAACCAGACGCCACCTGGGACGACACCAGCAGGGTTGATCAATGGTCTGCAGAGACGAGTGGTTCCAGTGACTCAAGTGACCCTGCCCCATCACGTGGTAGGTCAAGAAGGGGGAGAGTGTGGAAGACAGAAGACGGAGTGTGGAAGACAGAAGATGGGAGTTGTCAGATTCCGGGGGCATAGCGATTGGACGCCGGCTGGTCCTTGTCAAGCACAATGAGGCCGGAGAGAAGGGTGGCAGATCTGCCAAGGCGTGTGTGTGTGGTCGACCTGTCATTGTGGCACCCGGTTTCGGGGAGTGGGATCGTTCGCAGTTGGTTTGGACTGCCGGTGATGAAGATAGCTGAGTAGGTGGGCAGTGTTCCAGCGCTAAGAGGGGAGGCTTGACGCCTTATTTAGGTAGCGAGGGCTGGGAGTAGTTGGGTGCCGAGACCACGCCAACATCTGCTGCCGCAGACTCTGGCAGCTGGACCCGAGCCGTGGACTCACCCGCCGTCCTCGCAAGCTGAGCCCCGAGGCGTTGGACGGTGTCGGAAGCTCAGACCCCGGGGAGGGGGTCGCATCGACTGGGCCAGCTAAGTACCCGCTTGCTTGATTTTATTTATGCTGATCAGCTGGTTTTTATTGTGAAGGAACTTGGTCGTAGTGTTTTATTGTTGGTTGTGGTAATAAAGGATCTTTTGGATAAGTTAATGCCTACTGGTGCATTTTTTGGGTTCTGACTGGAGGGTAAGATATTCCGCCCGTGCTCCCACTGAAACTTATATTACAATACATACAGAGTCCCGGGCATATGTGTGTAAGTGAGATGTGTGGGGTGGGGGGTCTAGAGAAAAGACCCATGAGTACACTGATAATGGTAACTAATATTTATGATAATAGTTATTAATATTAAAACAACTATAATAACAATTACTAATAATTATCATTATTAATAACAATAATGATATAATGGATACACTTATTAACAATGACTATTACAGATTCTTCAGAACAGAAACAGGAAACCGTTCACAACAATAACCACACTGAGATGAGGAGTCAATGACTGAACTCAGAAAGGCTGCATGCAAATAGGACCAGGACCTCCACGTGTTCTAAAAAACAAGTCCAGGACCTCCACGTGTTCTTAAAACAGGACCAGAACCTCCAAGTGTTCTTAAAACAGGTCCAGGACCTCAATGCGTTCTTAAAAAGAGTCCAGGACTTCCACGTGTTCTTAAAATAGGACCAGAACCTCCACGTGTTCTTAAAACAGATCCAGGATCTCCACGTGTTAAAACAGGTCCAGGGTTCTTAAAAAAGGACCAGAACCTCCACACATTCTTCAGAATAAAAAGCTTCAGTGAATAAGTCAAAGGAAGTAAAACATATTCCTGACGTTCCCATTCAGGTCAGAGTGGAATGAGGGTTTCAGATGAACTTGTTCTGTGAGACATTTTCAGGTCGCAGTAACCAGGAGGTCAAAGTTCAGCTGATGATGCGCTGATGACCTTTTGCAGCTGGGAGGTCATACAGTTCTACATCAGACTTGCAGGTCCAGGTCAGCCCAGGACCAAATGGAGACCCCAGGCCTGGGGGTGGAGGAGAGTAGTAACCAAAACCTGAGAACTATTTAAACACCATGTCTGACTGGTCTCCTAAGATCCAGAACCAGCAGTCCAGTAGCAGGACGAAATTTCAGTAAATAGCCTCGTCCATGTTGTCATCACTGTCTCCTCCAAAGTCCTCTCCATTCTCAAAGTAGGACATGATGTAATCCGTCTCCTGCAGGACAAACCGATCAGTTAGAGACCAGTACTCACAGTGAGACCAGTTACTTTTTAAACCTGCTACCCAGCTATGTCCCCGCCCTGTTCGGCCAGAACGGGTCAGAATTCTGTACCCAATAGACCCTTTTACTACCTACGTCATCAAAAGTTGCGAGCGCAGCCTGGCAACGAGAGTGAAGGCTTCCTCATTCACACTCGATACTAAAGCAGTGTTTTAAACCCTTTGTTTTGAAGTTCTGAGCACATAAAAATGTCGGGTTGTTGCGTGTATGGATGCCAGAGTCGCTTCTCTTCAAGCAGTGGACTGAAACTTTACAGAATTCCGAAGGGAGCACATCCATTTCAACAAAATCGGAGGCTGCAGGCCATCAAAAGGGTTGATGAAAACTGGACTGAAAACACGATCCGAAATGCTCGAGTTTGTAGCGCCCATTTTATATCAGGTAAGGTAATTATGTACTAAGATTACACCAGAAAGCTGGTTAACGTGTGTTCTATTAAATAAAGTAAGTTGCGCTTGCTGGTTTGCTTT